TTTCTTTCTTTCTTGCTCGACTCTTAATATTCTTCCTTTTCTTTTTCAGAAATCGGTCGATTACGCGCGTTTCGTTCTTATTCTCTTTTTATTTTCTCTTTTCTTTTTCCTTTTTTTCCTCTTTTTTCTCTAACGAACAAAGTCTGGAGTTCGAGAAGGTATCAGCGATGGCGATCACTTTGCAGAAACTAGGACACCAAGAGATGAGATAATGATACGCGACTAGGTATTTCCACGGCACTCTCTCTCTGTATATATAGACGCGTTTAGCTATATTTTACGTATATATGTGTGTGTATATATATATATAGGATTCACGGTTGTCACGGTGGTCACACGTTGCCTCGATACCGAACGCAGTTGTTATGCAGTGTTATCGCGTCGATGAGGGTGGTGATAAGAAGTGGTGGCGATTAACCGAGATTAATACCGAGACGCACCGCGTTCGTCCGGGCCGGTTGGCCGCCCGTCTTAGAGTGAATGTCTTATTAGTTATTTCTGGCCAGCTACTTCGTCGCTCTGTTCCTCCTCCTCCTCCTCCTCCTCCTTCTCCTTCTCATCCCCTTCTTCGTCTTTTCTTGATCCTCTGCCCGAGCTTTCGCACCCCACTCTCTCCCCTCTCTTCTCTCTCTCTCTCTCTCTCTCCTCCACCTGGTCCCATTTCCTTCCTCGATGCCTCGATGCACCACGATGGAGCGATCGGTGTCGACGAGCACGATCCCCTTTCAACGCCGATCCCTCCTCAGTCCTCCTTCTGCTCCCCCATCGTCGTCCTCGAGGACACTTTTCCCGACCGTCGAGCGTCCTTGAACTCGGATCAGATCGCCATTCTCGTTTTCGATCGGATGATTTCGAAATTTGCGTGCCAATCCGCGATAAACAACGCTGCCTTCGTCGGGATAAAAATGGATCGGATCCGATCGAGTAAATCGGTGTTTCGAAAGGTGTTGCGCGACCATAGCTTCCGTCCACGTTCCGTCGTTCGCGCTATACTTTTCGTATAAATCATTTCACCGATTCTCGGTGAAATATGCGTGTACGTATACACGTATACACGTATATATATATATATCCGTTCGTTTTGTGCAATTGTTCGTGCAATCATCTTCCCTCCTTCCTCGTTTATTATCATCTCGCGAGCATGAAAAAGAAAAAAAAGACGACGGTCGAAAAATCTGTTCGAGAAACTGTGAACGCGTTCGATTACCCGGAAATCATCGAGAGCCCTCGTTTCAATTCTGGCAAAGGGGAGAGCTTCAACGGCGCGTATATGTATATATATACACACACACTTTCGAGTTCGTTAACTTTCAGACAATCTCCGAGGTTTTAAAGTGGCGGTCTCTTCCCTTCCTTCGAGGAGGGATATCACGTTCAATAATAATAATAATAATTGGCCGTCTCGTGGCCCGGCCATTTGCTCCGCGCAAATCGCAACTTTCGCTCGATTAAAGTTTCCTTCGGATTTATCATTTCTGCGGAGATAAGCTGGATCTTTTGATATTCTCTCGTGGCCGTTTAAAGTTTTCGTCACCTGGCTTCATCTTCTCACCCTGATCGCGAGAAAACGATGCTTCTCACCGAATGCAAACGTTCCGTTTCGTAAAGACTAATAATAAGAAGAAGAAAGGCTTGAAACGGAGTATATATATATATATAGTCTCTCTCGCATGGCCGCCCATCCATTCCATTCTTCCAACGACAATCCTTTGGAAATAAATTCGTGGCGATAATGATAGCGTAATAGTAACGAACCGAAGAAACCTTTTACGTTCGTAAATGTTCGTGTTCGTTTCATGTTTTCAGAGAGATTGATCATTGGATCATTGCGTTCTTCGAATCTTACGTAATTCGTCGTACGAACACGCGCGAAGAGAGTTCGCGGTTTCGTTTTCAACGAGGTGAACCGACGCCGATGAAATATCGGCGTCGGCCTGCTCTTGACTTTGTTTCGACGCGACGATCTATCTTCCGATTGGATGCGATACAACGATGCCAGCAACGATCCAAACCGCGTGTACCGTTTGCGGTCTCGCGACCCACGCATCGCCGCGATAGGGCAATGACGGAATCACGATTAAACGTTGAATTATTATCGACCCGTTGTCCTCCCTCCCCTATTAGTCGAGCACCGCCCGTGAAAATTTTAAATCAACGATTTAAGGAGAAATCGAGTTTCCGTTCACGAAATCCAATTGTGAAATCCAATTGTTTCGTCGCGATATAACTCGCGTTGTACAGCTCCGTTTATTCCGATCGTGCTGTTTCTCGAATGCTTCGGGGAGTAATTTTGAAACGTTGTTGGTCCGATTGGTAAACGTTGGACGCGAGAGGATCGTTTCACGCATAATTCTTGTAAGGATTCTCAGCCTGATTCCTCCTTGATTATTTCGAACGATGTATTCGTAATTTCGAAGCGTTGATTCGTCGATTGTACGGTTGTAAACGTAGGATGGATGGAGAGTTGTTTCACGCATAGTTGTTCGGTATTCGTATACGAGCACTCCACTAAAAATAAAAGCGAACCGTTAGATGATCAACAGAGGAGTAATGTAATGTTCGCGTGTTGCCCTCTAATTTTAGCCCTCGACGTAACTTTCTTAACAATGTTGCGTGGAATTCTCCCTCCCCTCTCTCCTCCCCCTCCCCCTCGTAACAGCGTTTATGTTATAATAAACGGGATACGCGTGTCGCTGTTTTGTCGATCGAGACCGTTTGGTTTTTGGCAATCGACGCGGAACGATTCTTCACGGACGAATCGCGGATACCGTAACGTTGATCTCGACGTTTTGACAGGAAGGATTTCAGGATCGGTGGATTCACGATCGAAGCGAGAAGAAAAGTTCGAGAGGAAAATTCAGGGTGTGATTCAAGTTTTTACATCGGAATGGCGTTAATTAACCGGATTGACAATCCGTTTGATTCGTTCGCAAAGTTTCGTGGAAATAATTTCACGGCCACTTAGTGGGATTACAGTTGCAATTTCAAGATGAGGTTTCGCTACCTACCACTCGGCTCATTAGTTGTCCACACGTGTCCACACGATAAATAGCGCGACATGATTCATCACACTCTCCCGTTGCCGAAAATTTCAAAATAATCTCTAGTTCGTTTCTCCCCCCCCCCCAAAAAAAAAAGAAAAACGAAAAAGAAACGAAACAATTTTCAAATCCACCAATCGTTCGTTCGTTCGTTCTTCTTCGTTTCGAGATTAAATTAAAAAATCTCTGCGTATACTCCTCGAAAAACGGAAGAATATATTTTCTCTATTTTTTCTTTTTTTTATTATCATATCGTTGTTCGTTTATCGAATCGTCGTTTTCGAACGGATATAAATCAAACGAATTTCGCGTTAGAAATTATACCCGCACCGGGTATAATTTATACGTTACGTATCCCGCGGCCTGGCCGGGATAAAAATTCGTGGCGTGACATTCAATTTATCATCGACAAGGGAGCTCATTCAGACGACGCGGGATCCAACTCGGGATCCCGTGATTTCCGCGCGTGATACTCGCCACTACCAGGAGCAAACATTCCATTCCATTCCATTCCTCGTCGGTTTAAAACTTTTCACTTAAAATTTAAATGTATAATCCTATAATTCACTCGATATCGAATAACTTATTCGAGATAAATTAAACCGTGTCTTTCCAAAGTATATATAAATACAAATGAATGTCGTAGCTTTGATTAAAAAATATACGGATTCGTGAGAAGAAAAAAGGAAAAAGGAGAAAGAAAAATTTATATAAAAATGAAAGGAGAAAGAGAAAGGAGAAAGAGAAAGGAGAAGAGAATTTGAGAAATCGCCTATCGATCCTTCGAAGGCCGAAGGATCGAACAAATGCGTCGATCCGCTTTTGCCGATTCTCGAATCTTATTCATTTATCGAATCTTCTCGCGAGAATGTTCACCGACTCGAGGATTTTTCTCCCGCTTTCCGATTGTCGACCCCCTCATTCTCGAGAAAGAGACGAGGAGGAACGAGAAGATGTCCGCCGCTATGAAATTAGAAATTTCCAAGGAAACGTGCTTTATGCGCCGCTTCCAAAATGTATTTTAAGCGAGCCAGGTATACGTTCTATTCCACGATGATTCACGGCGGAGAGATTTTTGGTACGATTCTGTTACGAAGAACTTGTAAACTGGAGACTTTATTCGTTACTTTGTTAATTAAAATCTGGCCGTGACGTCGCCTGATTACGCCGCGTATTTTATTAATAAACTGGAAGCGAAAACTGGTTTACCAGAATTCCAAGTAAATCCATTGGAGCTCGAAATCCATTCTGCTTCTTATATACCTCTCGCCTTTTCATCAGTGTTAACGGATTGTGACTTTGCCATCGATTTCCATTCCCCACCACGGATTTCCCACTCGTTTCGAAAAAGATGCAAGGAACAAGTCCGTAATCGCCACGTCCCAAAATGAGAAATCCGTTGGATGATTTGTCATCGTGAAAGTATATCGTCGATCCGTCGTTCGACAGCGAACATTCAATAACGAAATTCCATGGAAATTCGTTTTGGATAACCTTTCGATCCACGATTCTTTCTGCATCGCGATTGTTCTTCGTTTCTGCGGAGGACTGCGCAAGATTACAACTTTCGTTCAAAAGAATAACAATTTTTAATAACCGTCCGGCCGAGAAGCTGGCGCCGTTCTTTTTCCGCGTCGAAGAAAGAGATTCGAGTTAACGAGATAATAATTAACGAAGCCGTCGTTAATCGAGAAATTAAACGAATCTCGCGTTCGAATCTTTTAATCTTCTCTTCTCTAGCAAGAAAATTTTCATATTTCCCGCGTTATCCGGGAAGCAAGATGGTCGGGAAGCGTCCCGATTGTCACGGCCCTGGCTTCTATTTTTGCTATCGTCCGCGCGATATTTATAACAACAGACTTATTTCACCGTCGACACGACTTGTGTCTGTCGTGCGGACCTCTTGGATTCACGTTTGAAACGTGCCGCCTCCAACCGAGTTTTTCCCTCCCCTTCATTTTTCCCACCAAAAGGCGAACCCTTTGGGAAGCGCGAGTAATGGAATATTCGAGGTGTTGCAAAGAGAAAACACGCGAGAAAAATTTCACGCTCGAGCGTGTCTCGCGTCGAATCCAGCTTAATTATCGTAATAGGCGTCCGATTATCAAAGGCGACGGATTAAATTCGGTATCGCCGAGTCATCTCCGTCCCCATTGTTCCCGTAATTAACCACCGTGCAGTGGTTCATACATGTACGAGCCTGTGTATGTGTTTATACGCGCGTGTGTGTAATTAATAGCGCGCATCTCGTATTTTTCCCCCTTTGGCGACCCTTTTCGAGAATCTCTTCATTCTCGTTTCTTAAGCGGCGTGCAAAAAAACTCGTGCTCGGATTTACGTATCCATCCCTCGACGGATGAACAACAGGAGACAAGAGGGTAAATTGGCTCATTGAGCTTCATTGAATCAACTAATTAATCGTTTACAGATTTATCGAGCACGATTTCGTCTCATCTTCGATCCGTTTATTATCGCTTTTCCTGAACGAGAGATGCTCATGCTCGTCCATTAAGACGAAGTTTCATCCAGCAGACCATAGTCCAGATAGACTACGTACGGCGTACACCCGTGTGCGCGGAGCGATTAATCAGGAGATAAATTTTCGAGAAGTCCGAGATCGAGTTGTTGAATCAAAGTGTTATACCGGCTATTAACAATTTTACGATCTATCTCGCGCCCGCTAAATGTTATTTCAAATAACCCGTGAAACGCGTCGTGGGGAGACGTCGGATTAATTTGGCCGGGACACCGTGGAATAATTTCCAACTATCTCGTCGCTTGTTCCCGCCACGCTCATTGTTCCTTCTTCACCACCGCCACGAAACCCGATGAAAATTCATTAACGCGAATATTTGCGAATAGATGTCCGCGTAATCAGGATGTTTCTCGGCCCGGTTCCATTAATTTTCCAACGTTGAATAGCAACGACAACATCGTGTTGTTCGATCTTCTAGGCTTCCACACTTCTTTCCATCCAACGTTTCATCCCTCTAATTAGAACCGATGTTAATTACGATGAGAATGTGGATGGGCTTTCTTTCTTTCTTTTCGAAAGGAAGACGTAATTTTTGTGAAGGATTGCCGTTCCAGATCATTCGTTCTTGGCAACTATTAAGCGGAACCATTAATAACAATTCGGTATCACGGATCGATGATCTATTAATCCATCGTATCGTATGGAATCGTATAACCGGTTATTGATACGATACGTGGTATCCCATAAATTTCCTGGAAATTTCGGGGAAAATCGTCTTGGCCAATCCGTTCGATTGTCATTTCGGGTTATACCGGTTTTATGGTTAATGAAATTCGCCTCGAGCATCGTAACGTAACGTACGAGAGAGAAGAAATGATAATGTTCTCTCGTTTTTCAACAGGAGGAGAAGGAGTTGAGCCCGGAAGAAGCGGAGCTCATTCAAAAAATCAAGTCGAAGATGTGAGTAAAAGCAATCTTTGTTTATTCATTCTTCTTTCTTCTTAATATCTCGATATATTTCGCGCAAATATAAACAATTTCATAGACACGGTAAATATAAATCGCGTTCAGTTTAGTATTCGAAATACTATATTATTTCGAAATTGACCGAGAGAGAAATTGCGAGGGGAGAAAAGTCGAGTTTGAGCCTGTTACTCGTGAATCCGATCTCGAAATAGTTTGATGATCGCTGAACCGTAATTTTAGTCTAAAGTGTAGGTTGCATGACGCAAATCGAGGCTGTCAGTGAAACAGGAAATCGTTGCGAGTATTTTGCCGATTTCGCGATAATTCCATTCGATTACGACGCCTCGTAAGAACCGAACTCGCCCGATCGTACCAACTTTTTATTTATCGCCATTTTCCACTGCTCCCGTCGAAACGACGAAACAAGCCTCGAAGCCTCGGTAATACGTCAAGTTTTTCTTCGCCACACCGTTTTCACCGCTTTAAAAAGTACTCACAATTGGTCGAGATAATAGCGGTGGTGCAAATCTCTCCATTTCCAAATGCAAAAAACATTGGAGAGAAAAATTCGTCTCTCTGGAAAAATCGATACAATCATAGTCGATCATCGTCGTTATTATTATTATTATTTTTATTATTATTATTATATTATAACTCCTTAAGGGTATATAAATAGGAATAGGAATCTAATTCTGGGACGAAGTTCCATTCTCATATTCATTGACGTCACATTCAGAACGTTTGAACATTCATCAACTCGTTATACTCATCGTTTAATTTTCCGACGCGAGTCTTCGTTAAGCAGTTTAACACGAAATCTCTTTATGGGGAGGAAGAAAAAAAAAAAAAACGGAAAAAGAAGGAAAAAACGAAATCCGGGCTTACCTTGACATTTTTCACGTCACTTCGTTTCGGGACGAAGTTTTTGTTCGAAAAATTTTTACACGAGGATATTGTTACGCAAGAATATCATTACACAAGAATATTATTAAAGCCCAAGTCGAATACATCGCGACGAATTTCATTGGAAAAATGTGCCCGTTTTCTAACGCGATTCCACACGCTCGAATTAAGAAGTTGCGGCGTAAGTGCGGAATCTTTTTATTTTTAGTTGGAGGAGCGCGTGCACCTCTCTGGCTCCTTTGACGCGGCTCGTGCTCCAAACAAACTTCTCCCCTCGCGTTCCCATTCCATTGTTCCCGCGATTTCGTTGCACGGATCCTCTCACGGAAACCTTCGAAACCGACGCGTTTATCATCGACGCGTAATTCGAAGCAGCTCGACGAGCCGAGGGACGTTTCGAAATTCTAATTTTCTAATTCAACATTGGGGAAATTTGGAATAACGTTCATCGGCTAAGTAAGTCGATCTATTCCTCGTGTTATAAAAATAACGTTTCCACTTTGAAAATGGAGGAGCGAGGTAGGTGGATTTTTCCGAAATGAGAATGAAACTTACGCACGGGGAATATAAATGACCGGGAATGTGATATGAAATTGCAGAAATGTGGTTCGATCCATGGAACGTCTGTACGCCGTGCCATCGGAACAGCTGCGTGTTTGGTTGGTCTGGCTTTCGAAAGTGGGAGACATGGCTGACGAATGGCACAAATGGTTACGCTCTCACATCGACTTCGTTCTAAGACTGTCGATAGAGCTGCGGGCAGCCGAGGAAATTTTGAGGTTGGAGGTAAGATCTCGACCAGAGTCGTGGATATTTTTCACGGATATTTTGAACGAATTTTCAATTTTGACGGGACGAAAAATTGATCGTACGCGTAATTCACGTATAACGGGAGATTTTTTCGTCTCGACGATTAATTAATTAATAGCACGCTTGCTCGCCACGTAATAATACGCGAAATATATTTGATACGCGGTAAATTTTGATTGAAATTGAATTAACTCATAGGGAGATAAAAGGATTCCTTGGTAAAGTTAAATTGAAATAAACGCGAAAAGCTTTCCTTTTTGTGGGATTATTATTCCCTCAAAGCTCTCGAAATTATCCCGAGATTCTCGGGGAGAGCGAAGTAGCGAATTCGAATTTGCGTCGATCGGGGAAGAATTTCGAGGTGACGTGTCATCGTCGATTCCCCAAATTCGACGCGAGATATCGATTTTCAATAGTTTCGCGGTGGTATTATATAGATAACGTTACTCGATTTCGCGTTGCCGATTCGCCGAATCGTCGAAGTTGCAACGTCCTCCAACATGGCACAAGCGTCGTTAACAAAAGCCTTGTAACACTGTACGCGGCCGATACGCGTCACGAGCCGCGTACAATTCTATTCCACGTGCTACGTAAAAGCATACCCAAGTAGAATTCCAATGATTACGCTTCTGCGACAAATCTGAAATTTCAGCGTAAATTAGTCAGAGTTCACGTGTCCTCCTCTCGAACAGGGGCGAAGATTTCTCGATTTCCCCTTCGAAAATTCATCGATTCGATTCGAAACTTGCGTTGTCGCGTCCGGATGCATTTCCCCCTTTTTCTTTTTTTTTTTTTTTCGTTCTTCCTTTCCAATCTCGATCGAAAATTTCCTGTTATGCAGCGGTGAACGATAAATAAAAAATATACGGATTTAACTGAATGGATATATATTTCGGTGAACGCGCGTGTCTTTTTACAAAACAACCGAAGATCGAAGATAAACAAAAGGGCGATAGCAACTATGAAATAGTGGCACTATTCTAGCAACGTTCAACAATAAAATTATAGATAACATTGAACTTTATAACATTTCCATTTCTTCCTTTATCACGGATAGAGGCCGATCGCCCTTTGAGAATCCGAAACCTCGTCCAAACTTAATCTCGTCGAAGCGTATTCCCATTCGTCGAAGATTTACTCACGAACGAGCCTCGTAGCTGTTCACTTCGAGCACCTCGATGGAGTCTCTCAGGTGTCTCTCCCACGATTCCTCACTTTCCCTTCCCGAGATTTATACAGAATGCAACGGGTTGCACCCTCGAACGCGTTTAAATCTTTCTCTCGTCCATCTTCCTCTTCTCGTGTACGATTTAGCAAAGGAAAAATGGAGCAGTAGGAGGCAGAAGCCGGTCTCGAGAAACCGTTACTCACGCACGTGTTGCTCGTTTCGCGGGGGCGGTTGACCTTGGGGACCAAAGTCAGTCGAAACGACGGTCGGTGGACGATCAATCGTCGCACGTTCGTAATATATTTAGCCGAGAGTGCAACGGGAGGCCACGTTCGGGAAAAAGTCAGGCGAGCCCGTGTGTATTGAAATTAGGTCGGTGAATCCAGTCGGTGGATCGATTGTATATCGAATCGTTTGATTAGCTATTAGCGGGAACCGCGACCGATTACGAGATCCACCCTCTAATCCAAACTGCATATTTGCCGCGTAATTCTAAACTGTCTGCCGATCGATTTATGCAGCTCGACCGCCGTCTCACGTTCCTCTCGGCGCGGCCGGTTAGATAAGCCAGCCCGTTTAATTTTCCATTTTAATATGCATTAATCGGTCGAACGTTTTGTTTGCGCGATATCAAACTTTCATCGTCTTTCCTTCTTTTCCTTTTTTTTTTTTTTGCTCTTCTTACAGGGAGAGGGTTATAAATTACATCGGTTTTACAGAGGCGGGGACTATAATTCTGTCATCCGTGTTTGTAGTGTTTCGAAGCGAGGATAGAAGTTTAGTCGGATTAGAACGTCGAAGAATCGCAGATGTTCGAGTTAACAGAAGAATTAATCGAGTCGAAAATCTTTGGTTAATTCCTTTGCTTCCTTTTTTATTTTTTTGTCTGAATGAAATAACGGAGTTTTTCTTCGTATTCTCGAGATTCGTTAACTCGATATATTTGCCGAAGGAGAATTCGATATCGAGAGAATCGTTATTCCGCCCCGTCGAAATACTTTCTCTCCTTCTCTTTTCCTTTCCTAGCGCGGAGAAGAGGAACCGAGAACCGAGGAGACGGATCCGAAGAAGGAGGAAATGAAGGTCGAAACGGAAATCGAAACCAAAGAGATCGAGACGGACACGAAGGAAGATACGAAGGAGGAGACGAAGGAGGAGACGAAGGAGGACGCGAAGGAGGAGACGAAGGAGGAGACGAAGGAGGACGAAAAGATGGAGGAGAAAAACACGAACAACCAAGGAACACGGATAATCCAAACGACGAAGAAGATGATGGTAAGAAGGATACAATTCGATCGAAGATTTTTTCTCACGTTTCTTCTTCGATTCGAGGCGACGTGTGATGGCCAACGAAGGACCGATATCGCGTACTATTTTTTAACATCCCTTTAACCCTTTCGCTACTGCTATAATCGCTCTGCACAAGATGCCGCGAGCGATTGGAATTATCTTTTTTTCTGGAAAGCGCAGGCATCCATCCTTTTTTTTTCAATAAACACCTCGTCGAAGCAACTCGAATTGTAAATTCGCGGCCTTCTTTCTCGAGCGGTGTGCACATGGGGCGGAGAAGTAGCGAAAGAGCACATTTAAACAGAACATTTTTGCGAGAAAAGGATTAGCAGGATTGTATTCAAACGAGGTATCCCTTATCTTACAATTGCACGTATTTAAACAAGCAATATTACGCGTTTAAATTTCCGCGCTATATACGTTTGTCCCCCCTTCGAAGAGCCGGTTGAAACTTTTTTCGTCGCGACAGAAGAAGAGACGAGTTTTAATTAATTAACACGATGTGGTGTTCACCGTCGTCGATTGTTATTTTAGAAAAACGCGCGATTAGAACGCGAGGGAATTGTTTGTCCCATTGATTTTGGAAACATGGATGGGTGATTTTGTTGCAGACGATGTGACAGAGGAGGAGGAAGAAATAACGCCGGGAGAAGAAATCGAGGAAGAAGAGAGACAGAAGGAGGAGGAGAAAGTAGAAAATGGGGAGGAAGTGACTAAAACAGAAGAGGAGAAAGTGGAAGAAGAGGAAGAAGAGAAGCCAATTATAAAGGAGTGGCCCGTGGGCATTCCGTGGGAGCATTTAGGAATAGAGGAAGAGAAGGAGAAGCCATTCGACAAAGTAAGAACTTTCGCCACTGTTGTTAAAGACATCGGCCGGCCAGCTTTATCGCGATCACACCAATCTTTACGACAGCGAGCAAAGGTCTCGCTAAACTTTCCCTTCCTCGACTTGCAAACTTTTCGTTTACACGTTGTAAAGAAAAAAAGAAAAAAAAGAAAGAAAGAAAGGAAGGAAAGGAAACAAAAAAGAAACGAGAGTTCTTTGCAGCGATTGCCCATACCCAAGAACGAGGCGGAGATGAAGGATTTCTTGAGGAAGTTCACGCACGAGGCGACCATCCATCGATCCTCCTTTAAGCATTGGAAGGATACCGCGGATCAGGTAACGAATAAATTAAATCTTTCTTTTTTTCCTTCTTCTTTTTTTAAAGAATCGCTTGATCGAAGATGATCGTTGCGCTTCAGGCTGTCAAGGAAATTGGAAACAGACTGGTTATAGCTACGTTCCTGGTGCAAGGGAAAGATGAGAAGGGAGAGATAAAGAAACCGCCTGTTAAAAAAATATTCAGCCCAAAGCCTAAAAAAGGTAAGAAGAAAGGTAAGGAGCAACGGAGAACACGATCTTTGAGTATAATCGAAAATAATCGTCGACAGCGAAATCTACCCCAAGGAAGGACAAGAAAAGGAAAGTTGCGTCGCCTGCGAGGAAGACGAACAGGGAACCGGAGAAAACGACGCAGGAATCACAATTGGAAATGGTACGATGTATAGATTAATCTACAACTTTTTCTTTCCATCGTCGGATCTTTCGTTCGTAGTTTTGTCGGACGAGTTTTTTCTGATTTCATCCTGATGGAAAACACACACACACACACACACACACACACATTTTTACTTCTCGAGGGAGAAAAGAAAAAAAGGAAAAAGTCGATCGATCAGTTTGGAACGATCGGTCAGACGGTTTTCCTTCTAGAAATGTAAAAACCTAGACGAATGGATCGTTTGCAGACCGAAAGGATCCGTTTTTATCTCCACGTATTATTGTATTTGCTCGTTGTTTCGCTCCGAGAATTCTCGTTTTTGGCTAGCCGTTTCGTGTCCCCTCCTCGTTTCTAATTTGTATCCGTGTTTGTGTCCACGACCGGGGACAATGTGTTTCTTGATTTTTACTTTCTTGTCATGGTTTTTAACCTCCATTAAAACCGATGTGACGAGGGGGAGAGAAGAGGGGGAACAGCGGTTTTTGCGCGCGAATAGAAAGAACTGACAATGGTCGGACACGATACTCGCGCACTATAAATTGCAGGCAAATGTTTTTTTTCATTTGCAAAGATGAAGAAGATAGTGAACGAGACGTGCTGTAATTGTTGGGCGTAGTAACAGCTTATTCGATGATTACGAAGAAAAAAAAAAAAAAAAAAAGAAAAAGAAAACCACCACTTTAATCAATTATAACAATTTTTCGAAATTGGATAATTTCGGTCATTTGGTTAACAGTGTTTTGTTAAATCGAGGAAAATTTCTTATTCCTCTCCTCTCCTCCATTTTATAACACAGGAGAGGAAAGGATCGAGAGAGGATGGGTGTCAGATTCACGCGATAAATTTTCCAAAACTTCTAATTGCTTCCTGTTAATATCGAATCCGATTATCCGTTCCACACGAACGATCCACTCGCTCGGTCTTTTTTTCTTTTTTCTTTTTTTTTTTTTTTCCATTAATCCTTGTCGCTCGATCATCGCTCGTGTTTGTTGTAATCGATTTATCGTGATCTCTTTTGACACGATGTTCGATTGGCGTCGAAATTGGGGGATTAAGGGAAAGTTGGAAGTCAATTTTCGATTCTCCCTTTTTCAAAAAGCTTTTCTTCCAATATATACGATTATACATACGATTCCTCGCATCCTTGCAAATTGCTCTCCGTTCTCACGCCTTTCTCCTTATTATTAATAATATTTACAGAGCCCGAGTAAAAGGGAATTGGAAATCCGCAAAATGCTGGACATAGACGCGAATGATTTCGTGAAGGACTGTGCACGTGGAGCGGAACCTCTGCCGTACTTCTTCTACCTGAAAATGGAACCGGACATCGACATAGCCATGGAGCACGATGACGAGGAGATAATCCTAGCCGACACCGAGCGCGAGAACATAAACGGCGATTTCCAGCGCCTCTATTTCAATCTTTCCGACAAACCTTGCAAAGGAGGGAAACCGTGGATGTTATAGCGAAATATAGGAACCGTCGAAACGTCGCTAATACAAGCGTGTGCAATAAGCAACAATAATAATAAAATAAATTCTTGCAGCTAAACGTCGGTCGGATCACTATTAACCATTTACCATTCGATCGAAAAAGGTAAACGAATAATAACATACGGATAATTGAGAAATATTTTTTCATCAAATTGAAAGAGAGAGAGAGAGAGAGAAAGTAACGAGTCAACCGTGTAATGAAAAATAATACAGCTGCATCGAGGTAAAATGTTTACCCGATCTTCGAGGTATATAATTCATACGGTTCGCTCGTGAAACAAATACACCAGTGGCGGAGCTAAGAGTGAAATGAGAGAGAATTCCCTGAACGAGCCGAGGAGGGAAGGTAAAAATTCGCTGTTGGCATACGGTTACGCCGGAGAAATCGAGAGGATCGAATACCATCGTGAATTCTCAACCAGGATTATAGAATTAAATTTTCCATTTCTCTCCTCCTCTCCCCAATCTTTTTTTTTTTTTTTTAATTAATCAGTTGTACGAGCGACAATAACGACACGCGCGAGAAGAATAGAACGAAAGAAAATAATCGAGAGCGTCCATTAAAACGGATAATAATCTTTACGACGCCTCGTAACGAACGAGCGATTCGACGATCGGCGGGAAACGTAAAGTTTCGAAACTTGGGTTTCGAAACCGCGCCATTTTTCGTTCATCTGCCTTTCCCGAACTCGTCCGCAACCGGACGAAGAGTGGCTCTTCGAGAGCGAATTCTACTTCGGCTGCATTTAGATTCCGTGTAATGTCTGGATTCGACATCAAAGCTTTCCTGTCAGAATCATCCGAACACAAACCTGGAATCGGATCCAGCGCGTATGGCCAACAGCTTATTATACAACATCAAAAGCCATCTCCGTGTTCGATTCCATCCATGGAAGGACAGCAGGAGGAATTTTATGCAATATGCGATTTCCCAACGCAAACATCAATTTTTTTTTTTTTTTGAATCTGTTGCGATACTCCAATTGTCCGATTTAATTCTAATCCTCCTCGTCCATGATTTACGCGAGACGAATTGTAAATTGACCAGCATCGTCAGAGAAGTTACTTTACCTTTTCTTCTCCCCTCTTCTCTGGATGGAAAATTGAAAAGTTGGACTTGGAATCCGTTTTTCCATCCTCGTGCACGCGGTTGGAAAATTTTTCTGGAAGCATATAATAAATCAAGAACGGGGCGAGAAGCAACCGATCACGAATGGGCGAAAACTCGGGTGGGGAAAGTTTACTCGCGAAACTTTATAAATTCTCTTGGGTTGGGCCAAGGGTTGTTGCCGATGTCGCGGCAGGCGTTCGACATCGATCGGCTCCGCCTTCGATATTATATTCGGTCGCGAGCGAATTTCGTAGAAGCGAGGGGGAGGGAAGGTCTAATTAAGAAGTACACAGGTGTAATTACGAGGAAACACGGGGAAACAGTGTGCGGGGCGTGTATATATATATATGTACACGTACGCCCGTGGATCGGTTGGCGCATTATCCACGGGGTGTAATTAATTTCCAACGATAACAAGTTTCGAGGTGTCCATGGTTACGTGACGTCGTTGCGTGAGTGTCGAGTGAGTGTGTTTTCCATCGAGCGGAGGGTAGAACACGAAGAAGAGCCGCGAAGAAAGGTGACGGAGGCGATACCCGGAACTCCTCAAGTTTTCACGGGGAAGGGTTGATTATTTGATTTCGCTTTATCGAACTTTCGGGACGGATTCTGGACAATCTGCATGAGCTCACCTCCTTCGTCTTCTCGAGAGTTTCTGGGAAGGGAGGGAAGGGAGACTTGATGTTCCACCGAGGGTAAACGAAGCTCGGATAACGATTTCTTTTCTCTCTGTGGAAACGTATCGAAGTTTTTCGAAAGGAAATAATAATAATAATAATAATAATAATAATAATAAGAAAGAAAGAATAGAAAGGAAAAATTAGCCAGCTCTCCGAGGTAAAGAGGATATTTCAACCATTCGCGAAAGAGGAAAATTTCGAAAAAAATTTCCTCCCCCTTTCGAAAGTTTTCGATATTTCTCGCGAACATTGTTCCCTTTTCCTTCTTTTTCTCTCCCCGCCCTCCTCCCCCATTATTTCTCGGGCAACTTCTACCCCCGTATTTACATCTCATTAATTTTAACGACTACTGACTTTTTTTTTTCCAGCCAGGCGACACGAGTCTGGCTTCGAGTCGAGAAGAGCAGCAGCACGAGTCGAGAAGAAGGGGGAGGAGAAGGCTTGGTTCGAGGCTTGGAAGATTACTTTTCGGCGCATATAATTTTCAAAACAAATTTCCTGGGAGAGGGGTGAATAAGGATGACCGATTTAAAATACGAGTCGAGGGGGCGGAAGAGGCTAATAAAGTTCAAAGGGTCTGTTTATCAGCCAGGATATTACGAGAGCCTTTTATAACGGCTCTCCTTCGCGTGGGGAGCGCGTTTTATTATTTCACCTAGCCTCCTCTCATTAATTTCATTCGCGTCGAAACGAGGATCGAGTCGAAATCCGAAAAAAGGAAAAAAGGAAGTTCCGTTTGACGAAGATCGTCGAGATCTTTCAACGCAATCGCCGCGTCCGTGATTTATCGCGTCGAAAAGCGCGCCATGGAATATAATGATGGCACGTGAAATAATTTTTGAATCTATCCTGCGTGTTATCGATCTACGGGGCGAGCACGTCCTACGTGGACAAACGCAAAACGTTTGGTCTATACTCTGTATTAACCGTATCGGTATGAAGCGTGATTTACAACCGGCAGTATAACAGCTCGCGCAGGAATGGCGGACTATCTCGACTATTTTCTCAGCTCTCCAGTTGCCGTTTGATTTATAATAACCGTATCGGTTATAGATGCTTCCAAGAATCGTCGATCCCGGATAACGATCGATTTTATCGAGTTTCGCGATAAAAAAAACTTGCGCGCTACGATATTTATCTATCTCGCCAAAAGTTTTAGATTTTCCTTTCTTTTTTTTTCCTTCCCCTCCCCTCCAAAAAAAAAAGAATAGACGTCGCTTAATTGGGATCTATTGTTCCTCGACGTCGGACAGCTCTTGGCTTTGAAGTGGCTTGCCAGTTTAACTGGCTTTGCTAACGTTTGCTCGCGAAACACACGACTCGTGCACAGGTACCGGTGAGAAATGCCCCAAGGTATACAACGGATCTGTCGAGGAAAAGTCTGTCGAGAGCCGGAGGAAAAAACTCGAGAAAATTGGATAACCATACGTGACTGCGCGCGTATATATATATATGTGTGTGTGTGTGTGTGTGTGTGTGTATCAGCAAACAAGAGACACGGAATAAATAACGATCTCTTTTATCCTGTCGAAATTCTTGTCCAGGAAACGTCGACGTTCGTCGCGTCGTTCCATCGTTTCGTCGTGGTTCTTCCCTTACTCGATCTCGGGCATAGAAAAATGATTATATGCTTTTTCCAGGCCTAGTTTCCTATTTTCCTCCGGTTTGAAAAGCGGGGGACTATTAATATGATTCGAGCGCCGTCGAGCTCGCGTTGATTTATTGTTCCAATCGCGGCGCACGAAATACGGGGAGAGCAGTTTTGAATCTAGGCTTATCGATCACGGCCGAACAACTGCATGGAGCCGAACCTCTCTCTCTCTCTCTCTCTGGAACAGTAGTAGAAACAGACGGTCATATGTTAGCCGCATTAGTACGACGAGTGACTTTCAATCAAGTTACGCTAGCAACCTTCCCCCCCCTCATAGAGAGCACACGTCGATATCGAGAGGAATTCGTGTCTCTTCCCCCATCGAGCACGATCGAGCCAACGCACGAGCGCAATTTTCTTTCGTGACTCGTTTCGAGAATCGCGATCGAGAAGAATTTATGAGTCCGTTTTTTTTCGAGTAGCGTACTCGATCGGGGTGGAGGACTTATTCTCGAATCGTTTCGTCCTTCCTCCCCATCCTTTCGAAAGAATCGAAACGATGAAAATGTTTGCGAGCCGCGTTCAGCTCGTAATAAGTTCACCGCGTGCTCCAGTTTTAATAAGGGTAATAAGGCGTAACGAGAAATCGATATTACGATGAAAAACGAGTAAACAACGTTGCGCGAACGAAAACGAAATTTCTATCTCATTCGAGGCTTTCTTTCGAGAGACGAGTTTGTAATTTTTCGCCTATAAACGATCCCGCGTTTAGGAAAATTCGAATATAAAAATTATCGGGGAGGAAAAATTCGTGGATAATTAAAATTTCACGGAACGAATCACGACGTGAAATCTTTGAAACTGAATGATAATTATTTCCCCATCGCCCGTATTTTCTTCAGCAACCCTCCGAAATTCGAGGGTTCAGCAGCTTATTAAAAAACGTGGAATCGCCGCGATATCATCGTGCTGAAGTTGTTGCACACGATATAATACGATACTCATTAACCAGTTATCGCGGTTGAAATAAACGCGAGCGAGATTTATTAACGTTTCGTGGCACGGTTAGGATCGTACGTGCTGACTGCGTGCCGTGGTATCGCGATTTTTTTCATCTCTCCAGGCTTACGAAATCACGCGGAGAGAGAGAGAGAGAGAGAGAGACGATTGCATCTCGATTGTTATCTCGAGCAGAACGAGCTCGATCGCGATTACCTTTTTTCCCTTTTTTTGTTCCAAGGTGGTGGATCTTGTTTATCATCCGCGAGATATTGGTCGAAATAGAAGGGAAGAAACGGAGTGCACGGAGTGGAAACGACGCTTCGATCGTTTTATCGTTTTTGGATCGTTAATGCGATTTCATCCGAACGATCGGATGGAACACGATGGAACACGCGTTTTCCCGGTGCAAAACTTTTTAAACGTTTTCTCGAATAATTAAACATTGTTCTCATAACGAAATTTTATGTAGGTCTAGATCTCTCTTTTTAACGCGTTTAAAAAACAAAGATATTCCTTTGGACGATATTCCATCTTTCGTTTAATTACGGCCCATAATTTTTTATTACTCGTCCATGTTCTTTTCTTTCTCTTTTTTTCTCCCAATTTACGACGCTCTTATTCGTGCTGTTCGATCGAGCACACCGATTGGACCGATTGGCTCGTCCGCGACACGATTAAACGAAAGTAAGTATGAACGAACAAATACGTTCACGAATATTCCGTCCACGATACGTTGTCGTTGTCCATTTTCTACGATTTTATCCGTCACGGTTTTCTGCAAAGTTTTTCACGATTCTTGAATTCATAGAGATCGGTCGAATTTGCGGTGGCAACGAAATGCCGGGAAATCGATGTCTCGTTAGTTGTCGGGCGAAAAAACGGGAGGCGAAGTTATGAACGGTTTGCGAGGGAGGGAAAAAAATTTCGAAAAAATGCACGGGACCGTGTGCAATTTTCGAAAGTAAAAAGTTGGACGCGCCCCTCCTTTCACCCCGCCCCGCGAAAAACGAAGGGGGAAAAAGTTTCGAGCGAACGGAAGCGGATATCGACTATTATACGCCGAGTCGAATTGAAATGTGCCTAGAACTTTTCGCGCACAGCCGCGCTTTTAAAAAGACCGTTCTTCGGGATTTTATTGGAATATTTGATAAAGCCAGCCCCGGCTGAAAAATAAAGAGCAATTCTATTCTGGTTAATGAAATACAATTCCTCGTCGAGCGCTCTTAAAACCGCAACGATTCTCCAATCTCGAGTGATCGATCTCGATATTTAAATTCTTCTCTAATAAAAAAAAAAAAAAAAGAAAAAAAAAAGAAAAAAATAATCAAAGTATCGAGAAACAATCGTCGAAAATTCTTCTCCATCTCGAACATCTTAATACAAATATTTGATCCCGGTCCGTTTCATTATCCCCGGTTATAATTGGTATTTGCCGAGTATTTAAAAAGTTAAACCAGGAAATTGGCCAGGAGATCTCGTATCATCCGGTATACAATAATTAAATTCATAAGAGATTTTATCGAATCGTTTCGAATCGGTCTCTTTTATCCCTCTCCGTTGTTCCTCCTCCTCAGAGTGGGTCACCACGACGACGAGGAGGACACTTTCCGACCAACTTTCGACCCCTCTCCTCGTTGTTCCTCGATCTTCGTCTCGGACGAGTCCACGTGATTCCCGCAAATTAATCGATCTCGAACGCTCGAACAACTTTGGATCGATAATCCGCGCCCTGTAAAAGGGCTTCCTGTAGAAGCATTAACTCGAAACCGTGATGCTCTTTCCGCGGCTAGCCGCGCGCTATTTTCCTGGCCAAATTGGACGGGGTTCTGGGGGGGAAGTTAATCAACCCTCCTTTGATAAATTTTAATCCCATCCCCGAAAAATTTAATCCCGCCTTAATCACGATGATCATGCGTGTGCGCATGTATAATCTGTGTTTTCGACAGGGAGATTCCGTTCGAAATTTCCAACTTTTCCTTTTTTTATTCTCCACGAAACGAGAGCGGCGAGAGAGGGCGGTCGGTTATCGCCGATCGATCGATCCGCTTCGTCTCGGCCAAGAATCGATTACTACAGTCACTTTGGTAATCGGCGGGGAATCGAATCCTCTCCCCTGGGAACAAGGAAATTTCGTTGAAAAAAAGATTAGCTTTTTAACTGCCCGCGCAAAGGACCCCCGTCCAATGGAACGGACGAGCGGGGATCGATCATTTGCATATACAGGTTTCAGTTTCAAACATTTGCATAAATTTTTCGATTCCTCGATAGTTTTTCAACGCGTTAGAGAGCGTAAAAAGAAAGAAAGAAAGAAAGAGAGAAAGAGAGAAAGGGAAGAGAAAAAAATCTGGGCGAATAGAATAATTCTTTTTTAGAGCGGATTTAGAGCGCTCTAATAATTTTCATTCCTATCCTCGCCTTGTTTTTTTTTTTTTTTTTTTTTCTTTTTCCTTCCAACGAGAATCGTCGTAAAAAAATTGAACCGCGCTCTTTGAAAATTAATACGTTTTCTCGACGTATCCTCCTCCTTCCCCCTCCCCCTTTCGAGGAAGAATTTTAACAAAGCGACGTGATCTCGTGCACACGGCCCGAGTAATCGTTCCGTAATGTCGCGGAGGAAACGAGGCTACTTTACAAGGCCCTCGTCGCTTGTTAACGCGTGCAACGGGAGAGCCGGAAGTAGACGGAGAGGCGTTAACGAACGCGTGTTATAATAATCCAAGGAATTAATAAGAAGAGAGAGAGAGAGAGAGAGAGAGAGAGAGAGAGATTAAACGGAATTATGAAATGGAAGTAGTACTTTCCTTTATATCTCGCCATCGTTTCTTTCCACGTTGGAATCTTGGGAACGTCGCATCAAATTTGCCTGGTCAATTTTCTCCGATATTTTCCTCTCTCTCTCTCGTTCGAACAGTCAAAGTTACGTTAATGGGGGATACTTTGGATTAAATGTTTTCGTAGGACGACGAGATGGAAGGTGCACACCAGTTGGCGCATATCACGTCGCCGCGATTTGTCAGGATAATTAAGCGGCGATTACTCGACCGACGAAAGAAACGTGTCGATCGGTGTTGGCTTCCTCCAACTCATTACCGACATTACCGCCAAAGCTTGGCGGTAATTGCTCCACAGCGCCATAGCTTTTTCCATCCTGGATTTTAACACTGCTGCTTTTTTCTCCGCAACACGCCCTCTTAAACTTGGTTAACTCCTATTAATATTCCTCCCTCTTCTCCCACGCTTCTCCCCACAATTCCTAAACAATTTTTTCGTTTCGAGAAAAGAAGGAAAAAAAAAAAAAAAAGAAAAAACGAGAAATGAATTTTAAGCGGTGTTGGAGGGAACGAGAGGCGATCCCAAGTTTCGACTTGTTCTCTCTCGCGAAAAGTTAAACGGAAATAAAGAATTCCACGGCGTAAGCGAGCGAGATCTGTATTTACTTTTGTAAAGAGAAGAACCTTCGTTTCGAACAATAACGGAAGAAAGAGGCGGTTAAAATGATAGTGCGGCCAGCGAGGGAGGAATACGATCGGACGCGACCGATGATATCGAGGAAAGTGCGTCCAAGTCCGAACTTTTAAATCGTCGATGTAGAGTCTGGACGAAGTTTTCCTCGTTGTATGCATACTGCTGTTCGATTTTTAAGGAAATCGTCCTTGTTCGAGTCGAAGCGTGTTTCCATTTAACGTGTGACGTTACAGTTTGTAGGTGTACCTGCCTCGAATTTTTCCTTTTCCCGTGCTATACGGGGCATATAAACGGTTGCGCGACACATGTGGCTCGCACACGCAACTTAAAAAAAGAAAAAAAAAAAAAAGAAAAGAACATCTTGGAAGAAAGTTGGTCGCCGTCGAAGGGATTTCCGTTGCTTCGAAATGCTCGGTTTTAAACTTATCCCTGTCCCCTGCCATTTCGCCAACCACGACCACGTTTCCTTACGTTTATGAAAATCTCGCTGGATAAATCTAATGGAAAAATGCTTCCTCCGTTCTTTCCATTTTTACGTTTCACTTATCTTCGCGAGGAGAGGCAGCGATTGGCGATAAAACGACAGATCCCCTCTCAAAAAAAAAAAAGAAAAAAAAAAAAAGAAAAAAATAAAAGTAAGAAAGAATCGAGGGAATTGAAAACTCGAAACGAAGGAAAATCGGAGAAATCCCGTCACGATTTCTTATTTTTCAACGGCCTCCGGCTACCCATTGAAACGACTTCGACCTCGACGCGCGGTAAACGTTCCTCGATCGTTCTGAAAAATGAATTACGCCCTAAAAGGTCCACGTGTAGAGCGAGTTTATCGCCTTGGACACGCGATACCGCCATAACTTCTCGTCCAAGTCTCATCCTCTTTGCGACCAAGGGATTAACGAACTCAACGTTATTTATCATGCCAACCTTTGCTTCGTTTCCTCCTTCGTCCCATTGCGATCCATTGTTCGACAATTGCTCAGACTCAGGCAGTCGAAGGGAAGAAAGGCACGACCGATATCGCGAAAAAATAACCCGATCGACGATTTTCTTTCTCCGTTTCGATTAAATTAGAGGAAGATGAAACGATCGCCTCACCGGTCGATTCGTTCGTTCCCTCGATCCAACGATGAATAAAACACCAACGACCGAAAGCTCTCTCGTCAGCATCACTCCACTGTTTAACCAACGTTATAACCAGACAGTGAGAGAGAGAGAGAGAGAGAGCGACGGAGGATCAGGTGCGATCCGTTCGCGAAAATGGACATTCTGCCCTATGATTATTTATATTCTGCTATGTAATTTCCTCGCCACGAACTCACGAAGACACTTTTCACGCCGTGGACGTAACGTTACGTACACGGATTTGGTCGGTGAGACGAAAGGAGAAGGGATAAAAATAAAAGAGAGAACAGAAAGCACGAGCCGCGCTCCATCGAACAGCGCGAGTAACAAAAAGTCGCGGGGGTTGTTACACGTTTCAACACGACTGTCTCTCGACGACAACGATTGCCAACGGTGTGCAAAATCGAGGCGTTCGAACGCGCGGCGAACGAGAGCTCTATTGTCGTCCACCGCCGTTTAATCCGCGCTAAATTTCACTTCCCTCTTCCCATTAAAAAAAAAGAAAAAAGAGAAAAAAGAATCCGTGATCCAACGAGGCATTATTGTATACGCGAAACACCCTCTCCCCTCCCCTCCAAAGTTGGAGGCTTTCGGAAAACCGATTGTTCGATCGTCCTCGATTTTATAATCAGGGGATTAACGGGCGCCTGAGGGGGGAGGGAAGGGAGAGTGGATCATCCCCCGGATACGGGGACAAGCAGGTCGGCCTAGCCGATGAATATGTATATAATCGGTAAACATGCATGGAGCGTGAATCGAGCCAGCCCAACGTTTATTGGCACGCCAGCAAACGTGCACTACAATTTCGATGATTAAAACCCGGGTTTACGGGTTTGCCGCCCCAGAGACTTTCTTGTCTTCGAAGCAGCTCCGCGATTAACAAGTGGTCCTCGTCGATATATATAATGATTCGTAAAAATAATTATTGGAGAAACGCCCAATCGGGGGACGGATCTCAACTTCACGATCGAGGAGTTGTTTGCTTTCCATCGAGGTGGCGGGGAGGAGGGGGAGGAAGGGGGGATGGACGGAAGAGATTTTTCACGGCGAACGCGAAGAATTTTCGCCGGACTTGTATCGATTTTTCGCTGCAAAATATTTGCCTTTCATTCGAGGAGTCGCGGCATTTATTGCGGCGACAGCGTCCCACCGCGACTATATTTTATATCTATTTCGGGACGCGATGATAATAATTCAGAAGCGGGGATAATCGAAACGACAAAATGCGACGATAAATTTGAGATCGCCCGTTTTTCAACGATTCAATTTTTCCACGAATAACATCATCCGTTTCGAAGAATTTCCACAATGTCCCCTTCGACAATGGAATTTTAATAAGCACGAGCTTGTTACCGTACACCTTTGGCGTAAGTTAAACGCGTGTCGTCCTTTGCATTGAATATAAGGGCAGCGTTGGAAGTGGCTCCCTCGCCACGTCACGTTACGAGAGAATGGCGAGAGAATGGCGATGGTTTCGGCGTGGATGGAATCGCGATACCATGGGGTGCACACGAGTCGATGGATCGCCTGCCTCTTCACACCCTCTCCACCCTCGCTTCCAGCCCGTTGAACCGGCTACCTGTTTCACCCCTTGTCCACGTTCCACGCAGCTAAGCCTTCACCGGATTAACGAGTGGTTCCAGTAATCTTATTAAACGGTTGCGTTTGGCGCGGTTTAATTGGTAATACTTGAAACGATTCTCTCGAGCCCGGTCCTTAACTTTTTAGCCTCGAATGAGTGAACACTGGAGAGGAGGAGGAGTAGAAGAGAAAGAAGAAAAAGAGGAAGATTGGTTAAAGATTCGATATCGGACGAGATTCGTTTTTGAAGTTTTTTTTTTTAATCGTACTTGTGGATTTTGACGATGGATAGAGCGAGAGGGTTCGCTCTAGGATTTTCTTTCTTCGGAAGGCGACACTTTTTTGGATGGATTTGGATGGGAATTTATTTTTGGAGAACGAATAAAAAAACGAAAGTTTCACGTGTTTCATCGTGACGCTAAGATTCTTTTTAATAAAGAATCGGAAGAAAGGAAGGCGGAGGGCACACGTGTGGATTTCAATCTCGTTCCAAAGATAACGCCGTTTCATCGGAAGAATTCATATTTCTATAGGAATTACTGTCTTCCTTCCATTCCTATTCTCCGGTGACGAACACGAAGAAGAATCCCCCGAACCTTGAAAATTCCCGCGCGATAAAATTCTTTTTATCCACACAGACGAAGGGGATGGAGTATCGGGAAGAAGTTTCAAAGATCGGCGCAATTATCGGGGGAGGCCTTCAATTTTCAATCGATAATAAACGATTGCACATTTTCGTAAAAATGTTGAATCGAAAAATACTGGAGAATGACTCGAATAAAATATCAAGAGGCGAAAAATGGAGCGAAATTGGCGGATGCTCGACATTAAATACGCGTTCAATAACGCATACACGAGACCTTCGTATATAAATGAATCGATCCAACTTTTTCAAGTCGTCCAAATTGGGCGCGATCGATGTTGTCGATCGCGAACGATCTCGAATTAAATTATGGTTAAAGCGAGTATCGGTGTTATTCGAAATGTTGGAGGGAGGCGGGGGTTGCCGCGATTTCAAGCGTGTCGAAGCGGGATCCCATGAATCGGAGGATGATTGGTTGGATCGAGTTCGCTGGAAATAACGGCAGATTTGTGCAAGTTCGAGGATCCTCGAGAATTGGAGTAGGTATCCACCAAGGAGTTGCGACGAATTCGCTCGACTAGTCGACAGTTTGCACGAGAGGAGAAGACAGCAGGACGTGTGTGACGTGCTCGCTCGTACAAACGCGATCGTGCCATAACCATAACCGATAATTGCCGAGTCTTACTTACTCGATCGATTGTAACACGTGCGTTCCCGTATATATACACGTATATGCACGTCGATCCCTGGCTCGAAGCCAAGTGATTAAAGGGCACCTGAGGCTTCGTCGATCCCTACGTGATAAAGCTGCCTATCAATATATTATATATACACCCAGAAGGGGAAATAGAATAAGGGTCTAAACACGACGACGCTGATCAATCAATGGAGAGGGATCCAGAGGGATAATATAGATCATTCCAAACAACGACGGTTACCCGGTTGTTTGTCCACCGTCATTGATTAAAAGAGGAAATGATATGCGCAAGTCGAACGAAAGTCGAAAAGCGACGTGTTTTCGATCCGGCTCCCGTCGAACACGCGGGAAATTTTACAACGTGCACGTGTTTCATACGGAAAGGTTGGAGGATGGCCAATGTCATAATCGAGATCCGATAATGGAAAATTTGGATAATCGAATCTCGGTTAACCGAGATGTTATTCCGCCTGGATCCATCTCCATCGGAAATCCGGAATGCGTTCGCGCCGCATGGAAAATTTATTCGCGCGAAAAACGCACGATTTCGATCACGTAACGTTTCTTTTCGCGAGATCGAAGCGTTTGTTGGAAAATTTATTTTCCCTCTCGAATCATCGTCGATCGAGGTTTGTCGCAATTAACGAAAACTCGACGATTCGACGGTTATATTTTCGAGCAGGACGATACGATCAAATCTTGGGAAGCTGGGGGCAGAAAGATGGGGAAGGTTAAGGGACTTCCTCCCTTGGGACGGGAGTTGATGGAGTATCCAGAGGAAACAGAGTCGTGGTGACAAAGTTGATTCGACGCTTGTAATTCTTCCAGAGAGAATCCAAACTCGAAACGTTTCCTCCTCCTTCTCCTTCTCGTTTCCTTTTATCTCTTTTTACTTCGTTCCATTCGAAGAGCGAAGAGCAAGGCGGTAATTTAGATCGTTGGCGATATTTTGTCGACTCGTTACCTCCTTATTTCCCCCCGCATTATCTCATCCTCGCAGGAAATTGAAATATCGCGAAAGATCTCTCCAAGATCCGAACGATGATGGAATAATCGAATAAAATCCCGTTCGATTCGAAAGAAAAAAAAAAAATCCCTTCATCTTTGTACACTGTTACACCCCCGAATTTATATTATAAACCCGATAAAATGATGGCTAAGATCGAAGAAAGGAAGACAATAAAACGAACGAATAAATAGGCGGAGGGCGGGTCGATATTTCGTGACCGTGATTAATCCGGGATCGCGTGCACGGAACAGGACATCCTCCTCGAAGAGGAAGAAGAGATAAGGCGTTGCGAGGATGGGTGGCGCGGCGTAGGTGGCATCGCTGACCGTGTAGGGCGGCTGAACACTCGAGTTTAGGGGATTGTTAGGGGATGGAAGGTTGCCGAGCCGAGAGTTGGCGCCTGCGCGATACCGTCCCTGTCTACTTGTCAGCCAAGCGGAGCTGCCACCACCCTGCCCGCTTTTCCTCTCGCCGCTACTCGATAACAAACTTCGCCAGCGCACCAGTACTGGCACGGTACTCCGGACCACCGTATCGTTCCAACATCGCGCCCTTTCTCGCGTCTCTCGGTTTCCTTCGCTCCGCCGCTGGATATTCGATATTCCTCCTCTCTCCCCTCCTCTCTCCCCCCTCATTCTCCTCCTCACTCTCTCTCTCTCTCTCTCTCTCTGTCTGTCTCTCCTCTC